ATAATTAGAATTTTTCGGTTTGGTTTTGATTCAAGTCATGATGGGTCAGGTCTGTTCGAGTCATAGATAGTAGATCCACTAGAGTACTTAAATTTGGCGGATCGGTTTCAGTTCTGTTTCGAGTCGTATTGGTTCGGGTCATGTTTGATCCGGTCTGAGAAAATATCCAAAATACAAAAAATACCTAAAAATATTTAAATATCTAGAAATATCTGAAATTTTATCCAAAATATGATCCTAAGACATGAAAATATCTGAAATTTTATCTAATTATCCAAATTATATTTTTGAAAATCTAAAATTTTATCCGAAACTCAAAATTATATCTGAAAATCCAAATTTGAAACTTAAAAAATACACATAATGCCAAAAATATACTGAAAACCCCGCATATACCTAGAATATACCTAATTTCACAAAAAAAAAACCTAGAACATACCTAGAATATACTAGAAATTTCGGTTATTTCGGGTATCCGTCAGCTCCCGAGTTCAGATCGGGTCGTGTCTAAAATCTGCAGGTCCTCCACAACAAGATCTAATAAGGTAAAAAGATCAATTCGGTTCCCAGCTGAACCGTAATTTTTTGGTCGGGTCCTCGAATTCGGGTGAAACTAATATTTTCAAATATACTTATGATTTAGGGATAATCGTTATTTTCATATCACCATGAGGTTATATTTACTTTTGTAAATATGTTGGTTTTCTTTGCCAAATCTTGTGAACCTTTAGCACTAAAGATGAGTTTTGATTTTCCACTTAGTATCACTAATGATCTTATAGCAAGTTCTCCCGGATTCAGACTATTGTATACTTCTCTCTTTCACCTACTAGTCAAAATCTTAGACTGAATATGACTAAGATCACGTGGGGGCTTTTATAGGTTGTACTGAACTTCTTATACGACGTCAGTCAATGTTACTCCATTATCTTTTCTTTTCTATGGTTGGAAAATTTCAGAATACTCTGAACTTGCAGCCGCACTAAATGATTTGTAAGCGTGTCATAAAAACAGTCCTGCACAGTACTTTCTTAACGTCCATTAGGAGAGAGTAATATTAGAGATAATTGGCTCTCACACCCTAAATGATCCTCTAATTTGCTAATTACCCATAATTTGATTTTTCAAAATTAATGATCAGAATGTCCTTTTGACTTTTTTTCACCACTCTTTTTCGTAACCCTCTCTCTTGACACTCTCTCTCTTTCTTTCGATATCATCTTCAAATTTTCTCATCTTTTGCATTCTCTCTTCTATTTTTTTTGTTCTTTTCTTTATCTGATGAAATAGTTTTTTATTTTGAGGTTTCAAATTATTATTTGCTATATGTAATATTAACATATGTATTGTTAATATATATATATATATATACAATGTGGTGTTAACTGTTAACAAATACATTTACCAGTTGTACTAACAGATGCATTAACTATTAACAAATTTTGTAGATGTTAACAAATGTCTTAGCTGTAACAAACACATGTACCATAATTGTTAACAGAAGTGTTAGTTGTTAACAAAGTTGTACATGTCAATACATGCGTTAGGTATTATATATTAACAAATAAATATTGTCGAAGTTTCAATTTCTCTCTCGAACTGAGTAAATTTACCAGGTAACAAAACATGTATAATTTAACAAATAAGTTAACCGTTAAAAAATAATCTAACACTAATATCGAATTTATAACAAATTGTAGATTTTAGAGATGTTTAAATCTTGCAGTCAATTGTAATTTATATTTTTAATTATATCAAATGTTAAATTACTTTATCTATTATAATTTTTTTAATTATATTTCAAAAATATTATTATTTGATAATATTTTTAGCATTAAAAAAATCTAACAAACATGTGAACAAAAATGAAATAAGTAATAATATGTCTGATTTCTCTGTACAACGTGTCAACTAAAGAAATACATTTTAAGCATTTCCAAGCCTAATTGTATAGCTTAGGCCATTAATATTTATCAATGGACAAACCACCAATTTGAGCATCAATTTTGGATATTACACTAAATCACTCGTAATATTATCGCTCAGCTGCTTTTATTCTTTTTTTAAAAGGAACTGCTTTTATTCTTGTCAGCATCACTTCGGTTGTCTTAAAAAAACAGTCATTGAGTGTGATTAGATTTTCTTAATCTTAACCTCGATTAATCGAGTGATGTTCTCACTTAATTCGCTTTTTTGGTCGACATCACTTAAGACTGACTTTTATATAACTTCAATGCGTGTAGATACAACAGTGATTAAAAATAATTTATTTACCTCAATTAATCGAGAAATGTGATGATCGTTTAGTTTGCTCTTTTGTATCAGCATCAGATAGTTTTTTTTTATTGTTGATAAAATCAGCATCAGATAGTTTGCTTGTACTTTACCTCATAGTGTCAAAAATATTATAATGGGGAAAACATATAGAATAAACGCGATTAAAACGATATAGAAATTTAATATGGTTCACCGAATTGGTCAACGGCTAAAAAATCTGAAGTAAAAAAAAAAAACGGGTAAAAAACATCTAAATATTAGAAGTCATTTCAGATTTTATAGTACAGTTACAATTACAAAATCACACAATATATGTAAAAATATCACAGGTCGTAAACAATATCGCTGATGGACTTGTGTACTGATCATGCCAAATAAAAAGTGCTATCAGACTGATCATATTCAAGGGTCAAGGCATATCATGATATTATTAAAGTGATTAATATGTTATATGTATATGCATGTATGTCGTAGATGCAGGAGTTATACGTACAAAATCACATATTTTCAACCCTTATAAAAGTGCATGTTCATATGAATTTTGGATTTGTTTAAAAGTTTTATTATATACCCTTTAACTTCAAGATCAATAGTCTAGTGGGTGGGTTATAGTAACGTCATTGTTGTATCATAATCCAAATTCAGACCTGCACGTTTGATATTCTGATTACTAAAACTCCAAGGTAAATTTGATGTTTCTCACTTGACTTACATTTATGTCGACAACATGGCCCCCTTATTTGTAGCAGAAAATGGGTAGCCAGTATCAACCCGATCTAATGTATTAATCACATGTATTTAACCGACAAGTGACAAAAACGGTTTTCTAAACCAATACAAGTCCAACTCTATACTATACATTCTGTTTTAGACAACTATTTATAGAAGGAAAAGGCATTTGCATATCTAGCTAGAGGATAAAGAAAGGACAATAATATCACCTACCAGAAGAGACAAAGTCTGCGACCCCGACTCTGGTGATGTGTTACATTCTGAAGCCGAGAGTTATCTATCTTTAGAATACAAGACTCTGTCTAATTTTGTTCTCATCCAGTGCTTTAATTAACACAGAAACATTTATCTTTTTTTGAAACACAGAAACATTTATCTAGTCCTCAACTTTAAAACAGCGAAAGGAGTTTTTAAAAAAATTTAAAAGGCCATAATTTTTCCACGTTTCATCTATTTCCACGATTTGAGGGCTTCAGGCTGGTATATTATTTTGGAAGAAAATTATAATTGGTTTCCCATGGGTTTTTCCCAATTATTCAACTTCGAAAATGACTCTTGAACTAGGAGAGTAAATGCAAAACAACCCCCTCAGTTTATTAAAATTTTCAACAAATGTAAGTTTAACCGAAATATTATAAAAAAATGTACACAACCAATCTTTTTTTTAAAAAGTGCACAACCACATATCTATTAAATAGCTGGTCCAACATTTTTAGATGCATATAAGCAAATTTTAATAACATATTTTATGTTTTTATTATATGTATATATATTTATAACAGGATTAAACATTAATATACTAATTTAAATCCCTTAATAACTGGTAAAGGTATTTTTATAAACATATGACTATAGTCTATGATAATTTTACTAACATCATTTGTTATTACGAAAATTTTACCTTTTAAAATTTATCATATCTAATAATCAATTATTCAATAAATTTACTATTTAAATTTCTACAAAATTCTAAAAGTACTTAAAATACTTTTATCATCAAAAATTATAAACTCTATTCACATATAAATAATAATAAATAGTTAAATATGTAAGAAATTAGAAAATATGCTCTCTTAATTATATGTCCTTAAGCGATGGTTTGGATTAATTGTCCGCTTAGAGATTGTATGATCATGGTATTGTGGCAGTTTGCAACCACATCAATGTTATAATTGCCACAATCACCATGTCTATACAATGGCTATGACAGTGATTGTGGTGACAACTGCAGTGATGAAAATTACTACAAAGTGGTTTTCTTATTCATTTTCTTTGGATGTGATTTTTGTTTGGACTTTGGAATTTAACTAATATATGACGTGGAACATTTGATGATGTTTCTCATGATCTGATGTGTGTTCACGGACTCGATTTGCCTTCTCACAGTAATAAATTTTAAATTTATTTGATATACTGTAGAAAATACATATGTTCTGATATACGGACTACGGTGTCATATAATCACATGCATATGCAAAGTTGGTTTGCATGTTTTCATAGTTCAAAGGTTATATTCGCAATAGTTGATTACTTTTCAGGGTTTGTTTTGCAAATTGCCCATTCAAGATCAACCGTTACCAATACATACAATACACTACATACAAGTACAACAGTTCAAGTTTCAACATTGCAAGTATTGTTTTCTCTATAAGATAGTATCGTACTTAAGCTTAGATCTGATCATCATATATACAACTGTTTAAAACTAAATGTGTTAACCATATTTATGTAATTCATCACAGAGTAATAGAACGCAAAACTGAATTGTAGTACTTGTAACCACGAATTTAAAGTAACCGAACAAATATTTACAACCAATTCAAAAGCTACACAATGAAATCACCAAAACAAACACACAATTTAACACTTAACATTTTATGTAGCACATTAATATGCATATACTAGATATAAAAATGAGAACCCACGATAACAAAAAAAAAACAGCGACTTGGAATTAAGATGGCAACATATATAATAACTACATTGAGGAATCAAGAGGCGTTGCGGTCGCGGTTGTTGCGGTCGCTGTTGTTGTTGTCGCGCCAGCAGACTAACATAGCGATACAACGGCGAATAATATAAAACTTGGCTCTTTGTTTCTTCACGACATGACTGCACTTTTGCCCAAAAGTTTTGCAAGGCTCGCACGTGCTATTCTCCTCTGGTTCCATTGATTGGTTGCTCTCTTAGTGAGTCCGATACAGTGTACAAACTTTTAAAGAACCAAGAAAAAGTGCAAGAAATGGAAGATTTTGAAGGTTTTTGCTTATGAGCTTTGGTTTTGTAGAAGAGAGACAAAGATGGAGGGTTTAGTTATATAGTCCTCAAATGGAGGAGGCAAGCAATATAAATATCGAAGTAATGTCCAAGCCGACCATACGCCGTGGATATTTACTTTGTTTGTGTTTGCATTAGGGGTGGGCACGGATCGGATATCCGGGTTTTTTAAGGTATTTGTGATTTGCTTTGAATATTACGGATATCTAATTTTGGTATTTGCTTTGCTTCGAAAAAATACGGATATCCGGAAAAACGGATATCCAGAAAATAAATAGATATTTGCGGATATTTACGGATATCTCATCCATTTTAATTAGTACAAATAATCTTAAGATTTTGATACAAATTTGCTTTGCAAAAAAATATTTTTGCATGATATATAAAATAAAACTTGAAAGAACTAGTGAATTTATAGATTTTGTAATTTTTTAAAGTTTAAGTTACAATTATAATAACACAAAATTTAAGAAAAAAATATAATTGTCAAAAATATTTTATCTCTTTTTATGTAATACTTTTATATAAGTAATAATTTGAATAGAATTGTTCAAAATCATGTGCTAAAATAATAATTTTATAATTTTATACAATTAAAAATTTCAATATAATCAAAATATACATATATTTATATATTTACGGATCGGCTCGGATATCCGCTTTCCAAAATTTTAATATTTGTGATTTGCTTCGATTTTAACGGATATTAAATTTTAGTATTTGCTTTGTTACGAAAGTTTACGGATATCCGAAATTTTCGGATCGAATCGAAACAAATAACGGATCGAATCAAATATAACGGATAAAATGCCCAGCCCTAGTTTGCATAATATTTAAAAACTATTTGAGTTTATATATTTAAAACAAAATCCTCTTTGACTCCAAAATATTGGAGTATTTTAAGTTGTGAACGTAAATCGTGATGTGACAAGAAAAAAGCGTCAACTGTAACTGAACATTTTTATTTTTATTTTTTCTACAAAAAAAAAACATTTTAATTTTACAATAATAACCCATTAAAATATCTCTTTAATACTATGCAAAGTAAACTATGCTTGACTATGAAGAAAAACAAAACAAAACAAAATAAAACACTGCCACTGTTTTTGCAAAAAAAAAAACACTGGCACTGTTGAAGAAAAAGAGTTACACTGTTACGTTATGTCGTAAGTAAATAAACAAAATAGAGTGTTGCACAGTGAAAATTTTATATTCTATTTTGGTCGAAACTCTAATGTAAGATCAATATATGAGCTACGTAGTGGTTGAGGCAGTGCCGCATTGGCATGCATCTGAACATGAGTGGTCGTCCGTGTAAGCCGAACCCTACCATCTCTGTACGTAAGAACTGTCGTCTTCTTTGCAATTTATTGGGTTCGTACTATATTTACCTTTAATTTAGACGTTTTTTTCTGAAACAATTACGTATCAAATTTGAATCCACTCATTCTATTTGTTTGTATCAGATGATAGCGGGGATACTATGCTGGACAGTTGCTAGGTTATAGATATGGAACCAGTGAGAGGGGTATATATACTACTATAGGATGAACATGTGCAAACATGCGTTACAAACCACTCAAATATTCAAAAGACTTTTTTTTTTAATAAAACTTAATAATATAACCATATATTAGCATACATATCTCAAAATGGCTGATAATATATATACTCGTATGTCGTATCTGATATGTCTACCATCATTATATTTCTAATGAACTAAACCAGATGTTTATACTTGAAGAGACTATAATGTTGATTGTACTTTATACCCCAACTTTTATATCAGATCATGATCTACTAGTGCGTAATAATAATTTTTAGATGTAGTGCAGTCGACACCATTAAAAATCTATCTGGTATGGTTTATATGTTAATCCATCATCATATGAGTCAATCGATATGTATATAATCACCCTACTACTATTGTTAAAGATTCTACAAACAAACAAAAATAAGCTACCATAACAAATGAAATTGGGGGAGCTACAAACTGCGGTTAGTAATGAATGTGACAAATACAAAGCTGTGGTAGTCATGTACCACCATTTAAGAAACATTATATGAATCACTACTAATCAATAGAACTAAGATAATGTTAAAAGTCATAATACATGAACACAGATAAGGAAGCATCCTAAAAAAATACGACACTTTCTCTAAAGATGTTTTGTAACGGTTTACAAAAAAAATGTAAATTCGTTCTGTTTGGTTTATAACATTCAATATTAACCCATGCTACATTGAGTTCATAAATAATAGAACTCCAATTTACATAGCATTAATAAATAACTGATCTTATAAGACCGTTGAAATTATTATACGAAAACTGCTTCAACAAAACTCTTATCCAATAAAACTCTATTCCTCAAAATATCAACAAAACCATTATATAACAAAAGTATAATTTTTTGTATACACATAGATGAAAGCCAGTATCTCCACATGACCTAGACAAGCAAATCAGCATAAGCATTGAGTCCATGGCTGTTCATGTTCTGCTTAAGCCTATACAATGCCCTGCTCTCTAGCTGCCTTACCCTCTCCTTAGACAGTCCATAAATCTCTCCTATCTCAGACAACGATCTCTGTTTCCCACCATCAATCCCAAACCTCAGCTTGATGATCTTCCTCTCCTTGGGACTCAGCACATTGAGGAGGTTCCTTACATGGTTCCTCATCATCTGCTTCCCCACGCTCATGTCCGGTGTCTCAATCCCACTGTCTGGTGTCACTTCCTGTAGATGGATTATTACAATGTTATGCTCTTGGTCAGGATGAACGTTTTCAAAGTTAAAAGTGTTACCTGAAAGGTGATGTCTTGATCAGACCAAATGGGTTGTTGCATTGATAGAGGTGTTCTTGTATTGTAAAGAAGCTTATCAAGCTTCTCTGTTGAAACACCAACGTGGCTTGCGAGTTCTTCTTTGCTTGGACGGTAGTTCCCTTCTTGCACGCACGTCTTTCTTGCTTCAGATACTTTTCCCAGTAGCATGTACACGTTCTCCTGTATTAACATGAGTAAGTTTTCACCAAGTCTTGCTTTATAAGTAGATAATGTTAGATCTGTTTAACAGGTTTGATAATGTTACCGGCAAACGTATTGTCCTTGAGTTTTGAAATATAGACTTTCTTATGGATTGACGAATCCACCAGTATGCGTAAGTAGCGAATCTGCATCCGGACTGTGGTTTGAACTTCTCTACACTCTTCATTAGCCCCATGCTTCCTTCCTAAGAATCACCATAAGATATATACTTTAAGTTAGATCACTCTATTGCACAGCATAAGTAGTAAAGAATTCAAGAAAGGTGTTTTCATGTGATAGTTTGAGGTGATTTGTATAATTACCAATCCAATATTTTTAAAGCATGAATTTCTAAAACTTTAAAATACAATGTTACTGAACTATAAAGTACTCTGAAATACAAATTGAAAATATTTTAAGTTGTGACTTTTAGAAATTTTCTAGTTATTTCAGAATGTTTTGGTGGATTTACTCACTTAATTTTTTTTTTAAAAAAAAGCCAAATCTCATGATTTTAGGTGAGATTCTAGAATGATTTAACAAAAAAACCACATTAAATTCTCCAATTCATCTAAAATCATCTAAAAACTCATTAAAAAGCAAATCACTTCAATATATAGATTGAATGAATATAAACCCCCTTGTATTTAGAGTTCAAGACTAATGTGTTCATCACACTGACCAGACATAGTTAGAGGTCAAGACCAAAGTGTTAGTTTGAAAGCTAACCTGCAATAAGTCCTGAAAGTTGAGTCCACGATTCTGATACTGTTTAGCTATATGAACTACCAGACGCAAGTTTGCAGTGATCAGCTTCTCCCTGCTGCTTCTGCCACGGTGGATTTCAGATTTCAAGACATGTCCACTTATCCCCATAGCTTCAGCCCACTCAGCTATTGTTGGTTCACATCCATTTTGAGCTTCAAGCTTAGTCTTCACCTTCTCCAACTTTATCAAATTCTGATATTTTATCAAGCAGTTAGTTCGCATCAAGGAAAAAGTTTCCAAGGGAAGCTCAAAGAAAGGGGAAGGAAGCATGAAAGACACCTGTATATGTGTTATTAGCTCAGCTTCCTCTTTAGCAGTCAAAAGCTGTTTCGTCTCAGGTCCCCATAAGAAGAGCTGTAGCGCATCATCGTTATCAAACCCTTGTCTCATCTTCTTCTTGGCATTACTTTTCTGAGGAACGTAACCACTCTCATTGTCTGAACCGTTTAGTTTTGGAGCTCTTCTGTTCCTTGCTCGTCTCTCTAGTAACTTCTTAGATCTAACGATTGTTCCCACTTCTGGTAAGGATGACACAGAAGAGCTACACCAAACATCAAGAAAACAAAAAACGTTTTGACATTTATAGTTCACATATAGCAAACGCAGACTGATGATATAGACAAGAAAAAAAAACAAGGCTTAGAGAAGCAAACCTAGTGGAGAGAGAATCCACAAGACTGTTAGATGAAACTGTTTCAGAGTCTTCAACTAACAATGCAGCTTGTTTAGAAGCTGATAAAGCCTTGTGAGCTAGGGCAACCGCATCTGCTAAGGGAGATACAACTGTTGGCAGATGCTTCTCAGATGTTACAGGAGACATCAACCTGCAAAATAGCATCAATCAGGAAACTCAAAAGGTTTGAATGAAGATTTCAAAACAGGCAGAGACATTACAAGTTCCATAAACCAGAAGACTGAAGCAGTTGCTGTTCGAATTTCTCATCTTCTCGAGATGAGACTAATCCATCAAACTGCCTCCTCTCCAGAGTCAACTAAAAAACCCAAAGATCAGTATCATCACTAGAGACAATAAAGTTTAAACCTTTATGATGTTCAAGGGTGTGAAAATTGCTACTTGCTGAGATGTTCTGTCTTCTC